GCCATATATTTTATGCAAGGGACAATTTAACTCAAGAAAGATGTGAAAATTAAAATAAGAAGCTCAGGATGAGACCATGCTTCAAGAATCTCAAACAAATTTCACAATAATAGCTTAAAGGAAACTTTTTAAATTGAGATCTCAAGTGTCTTGTGAAATACCATGAACATAAAAACCTCAGGGAGTAAGAAGAGGCTTAGAATTTGTTTCTAGAGCTTGACAGAATGCTAAAACTTGCAAAGAGCTAAGTTTCTTCACAATGCTAAAACCTTGTTGGAGCTCGTTTGAACCCAAAGTTTGGGTGAAGTTGCGCTGATTTTGAAAGTAACCATGCTTGCATTCCAATCGATCAAAATTCTCATCAAATAAACATTTAAAAAGTCATCTCCTAGAAGATTCTTAGCTATGCAGACAATGTACTAAGTGAGATTAGGGTTTTAAAAATCAAATTAGATTTAATTAGTTGAATTGTTGAACTGTCTGATTGCTGAATTAGTACATGTTTTAGAGAACCAAATCATTCTTTTAAATTGTTCAAAATAAAAAAAAATCACATATCTTATGCCATATAATTTTGATTAATCTATACATTGATGCCCTTAGATTAACAATCCCTTGAGAGCAAGAGAATATGTGATGGCCAAAAAATTGTCGCAAAGCAAGCGACCACTTCACGCAAGTATACGTGTCAAGTAGAAAACAATTTGCTAAAGTACCGCGTATCATTCTCACAAGGAAATGAGTTGAGAATAGCTCTTAATAGGTGAATCTACATTTTACTAGTTATCTCACCTAGTTCATTGTGATTAGAAAAATAGAAGACGAAAATCCTGAGTCTAGCAAAGTTGACAAAAAACAAAAGCCATAGGAAGCATGAGTTGAAATTCTTAGGTTTCGTCAAGCCTGTTAATGATTGTGCCTCTGCGATTTAAGTGTAGTGTATGATTATGTTTTTCTAACAGTTTCCCTTACACGATTGTTGTCAATTAGGGACGATGTCTCTTCTTAAGCCTATGCCTCGATTTGAAGAAGAATTGAAAATCCATAAAGTTAAGTTGGACTTAACCTTATGGTGTTCTCTGTGTTTTCTTGGATCCCTTTTCTTGGGTGAAAAACCTAAATTAAAATATATCTATTTTAACAGGATTTTGTGGTTAACCCAATCGTTCCACTACAAAACAGACAGAAGTCACATATTACGATAGGTCTTAACGTCCTAACTAGCTAGATTAGGAATAAACGAAGGCTGTAGGGTTATCCCACATATTGACATCAAAAGCTCGAAAAACGTATTATGAGAAACATGCAGAGAAAAACATAATTAGAAAACTATCCATGAATCACAGAGGCATGAAAAAGAAAGTTAGCTACTCATATCAAGAGATAAAATCACATGAAAACTCTTGAAAAACAAGCATGCAAACAACATGTTTATAAAACAAAAATAATTACTCACTGTTTTGTGAATCTTCCCTACTGCAAAGTAAGCAAACAACTCTCTGATACAATCTCTCCGAAAAACAAAGAAAATAATAAAAAACGAAAAAAAAGCTCGATTTGTTCTCCCTAGAAGAAGAACAGCATGGACCTCTCAAGCCTCTCTAAACCTTAGCCGATGAAATACGGCAGCGTGGCCACGTCCGAAGGGCGGCATGACCACGTTTGAGGACAATCCGCGAACAAATTGAACTAGCGTGACCACTCTTGCTCTCCAACGTAACCACACTATACACCTGGCGTGGCCACGCCAAAACCAACCGTGGTTATGCTAGGTTGAAAAATTCCCATATGATCATTTTTGCTCCAATTTGTGTGCTAATCATCTTGAAATTTGTAAAAATACATAAAAAACCTTAAAATAGCGTACTATCATAAAACAAAAGAAATAATTTGCATGAATTAGAGCATAAAATTATGAAAAATTGACGCATGTCAATACGCTCATTATAATATTTATTATAAATATGTTGATATTAAAATTTTGTTTTAATTAAACTTGTAGTCTATCACTCTTTTGGTTGTTTTATAATAAATTGAAATAAAGTAATAGTCTTGCAAAAGTAGTTTACTGCTTGATAAATTTATTTGACTAATTTTATGATAATATTTTTTGTTTCTAGAAATATATATATTTTTAAATCACAAAAAAATAATATTAATAGAATATTATATCATTAAGTTGCTATAAATAAATTTTAATATATATCACGTTATCATGATTTAGTCCCTAGTTAAATTTTAGTTGAAGCTTTAAACTTTGAACTTTTCCATCTTTTGATTCAATGTTTAATTTAATTTTGAAAAGCATGAGTGAGATATTATCTAAAATACGACTTATGGTAACAATATGAGAAGTGTTTAGGTGTCCTACCATTCTATAAAGTTAATTTTTCTCAGTTAGTTTAACACCAAATTGGATTTTGAAGGGACCCTCACTTACAAGTTTGAACTAGACAATTGATTTTTTGTAAATCAACCAAATGTAAGTAGGTAAAGGACCAAAACCCAAACAAAGTTATTGGGACGGGGACAATATGGCATGTGTTTAGTCCATCAATTATACTCAAAAACCTTTTTTACCAACTAGCTTTACACCAAATTGGGTAGCGAAAGGGACCAAGAACTTAGTTTGAATTACGTTGTTGATATTTTGTAAAATTAGTCAATTGAATGTGGTTGATGGACTCTTAGCTAAGTTATGGTTCTCATGCCTAATGGGAAATTTGTTTGCTTTCACTTGATATGATCTTTAGTTTCTTGCCTTATTGCAGAGCAGCCCTTTTTACTACCACAAAATACTATTTTTTTCATGTCTAAAATGTTAGATTCTGATATGTCTTCGAGCTATGCTATAACCTTACTGGCTCAAAGTAAATAAGAAAGGTTGGGAAAGAATTGTTGGTAGATAAGAAAAATTCTCTTAACTAGCTCAATAATGTAGATTACACGAGTAATATCTTGATCTAAAGGCCAAAAAAAGTCAGACTCCTCTGTCATTTTTATAGTCCTCTTTTTAATGACAGGATCTAGGTCCTCAAGTGCTATAGAGGCATAGGCGACAGACACTGTTAGATCAATCTGATAAGTTTGGTGATAGTTTCAGACTCTTTTTTAGACTGGTGGATATTCCTCTTTTGAGTAGGCATGTGAGCCTACTTAGGCTTTGTGGGTAGATGCTTTGTACCTGGCTGGGCAAGTCTTCTTTGGATGTGGTTGGCATGTCCGCCTTGAACCTGGCATGAAAATTTCATTTCAAGCTCGATTGGCGAGTCTTCTTGAAACTCAGCTAGCTAGTTCGTCTCTTTGCTCCAATTTTGGGCGAGTTCATCCCTTGGGTATATATTTTGCACAACTCTCTCAAATCAAAACTAGAATCAAAAGCTATAATACTCTATAAGTTCAAATGTTAAACATAAGAGAAATTCTAAGCTTCAAGAATCTTAACTTATTATCTAAAATGCAAAATAATGCCTGAAGTAAGCTTTACAAAATGAGATTTAAGGTGGCTAGATGAGAAACTCTGGGTAAGGGATGCTTAGGGAGGAACACGATGATTAAATTTTACAAATAGGACTTCAAAAGAATGCTAAAATTGTAAGGAGCTAAGTTGCTTCAATGATAGCATTTTTGGAAGCCATATGAATGCGCAACTCTGGGTGGAATATTGTTTAGAATGCTTTTGAAAAGTATCATATAAAGTAGTGAGCATATAGCCAATAACAACTCTCATCAAATGAGACAGTAATATCTCTTGGAATGTTCTTGGACATTAAGAATGTGTAGCAGCTGAGATATGATGAAAGTATTGGCTTATGAGGGCATTGGATAACTAGTTAGATGATCATAAGTTGATTTTTCTTAGCTGACTAGGTTTGGATCAACTTTGATGGTAAGGTTAGCAGTGTCTTGTAAGTTTTCTAAGTGACCAATTTGGTTCAAAATAGAATGCAGTAGGCTAACCCTATCTCACGTGAGTTTGCCGCTTTTTGCCAATCCAGTCAATCTAATGCTAGTAGTCTCCGAGTTAAGGACCCATTTCACTTGAACTATTTAGTTTAATGTGTCCCTATATCCGCATTGGACTAAAATGATTGTTTCAAGTTTAAATCTAACCACGGTCATTTTCTAAGGATATCTAAGGGCTTATTTGATTAGATTTAAGTAGGGCATGTACCTCCAAAAATTTCATGAAATGTTTAGTATAAAAATTTAGACAATTTAGTCGTGTTTACATTTTAGTCTTTTTAATAAAAGTATAAACATTTGCACACACAATTATAAATTTCATTTTTGACTTAGTCATCATCTTTTTGTCTTAAAAGCATGTTTGCATCACTTAAGCTTTCCTTAAGAGAATTTAGTTAACAGATTTGAAGACACATGGATAGGTCCACTCACGAAAATATTTGTACTCGTCAAAAGAATAGGCATTGTTAACATGAAAGATGAGAATTCATAAGAAAGATTTATTTTTAAAAAAAGAAATTTTCATTATCTCAACTTGGAATTACTGTTTTTGCATTTTTATTTCTTTGTTGGTGTAGAAACTCTATGTACTCGAGTTTGATGAGTCTACTAGGGGCATTTAGGTCAACCATTGTCAATCTCTCCGCTTGGATTAAGTCCATTAGCCCCATATACTTAACTTGGTTATGTTGGGTTTCTAGGTAGGTTGAGATAGATTCCTAGGGTTAACCACGTCAATAAATTTTGGTCTAGTATATGGCTTTACAATTAGGCATGGTTTATTTCATGGACTGCAAAGCTAACCAAGGTTAAGTAAGTCCAATTCTAGTTTGGGGTGCGGATTAATTTAGGTTCAATCTAACATATGAGTTTTCAACATAATGTTTTTGAAGTTGACCAAGGCTTTACGAAGATTAGGGTAAAATCATCAAAATTTCTCATAGTGCTGTTGTAAGAGGCTTGAATGATTGAATTTCTTTGCAGTTTTTCCTATTTCAATTTTTGGATAAACTATCAATGTCATTAAGATGAACAATTACTTTCCATCTATTGAATAAGGACCCTGCTATTAGTTCTTAAAATGAAAAGCTACTTTCCATCAATGTCATTAAGGTGAACAACAACATTCCACCTATTGCATAGGAAATCTGCTATTAGTTCTGAAAGTCATTTTATAATTATTCTTTTTATCATGAATTTTACTCATTTGTAATAGCACTCTTTCTTTTTATTCATATTGTTGTCATTTTATACGCACGTGGTCCTCTTAGATAGGGCCTTTACAATTCTTATATTATTTGCTAAGTAAATATTAGTTTCAATTATTCTGTTCATCTTAAAAATTATATTCTTGTTTTTTATTGTGGTCTTTCAACCTAAAAAATTATTGATTGCGGATACCTATAAAAATAAAATTTCAGTCATTTCTGAGAGGTAGATTCTTACAAAATGGAAGGCCCCAAGAGTATGAGAGACCACCCTCCGTGGCAGCAAGAGAACTAGGTCAGCTAAGACAACGGCATCCCGTTTCTGAATTAAGGTACATTTTCTTCCTTAAGCATTAGTCATTATAGTATAACCTAATTTTTTGTGTCGTTTGGTTTGAAAAATTGTTGGACCTTTGAATCCAAAAGTTACACTTCAACTTTACGCTCAAAGCATTTAATATTTTCTCGAGTGCAGCAACAAGGTGTAATGCATGAAACCTCACATTCCATATGCATTATGAACTATCGTGCCATATGGTTTCTTTTTTGAATTTTGTACAACCAGTGTCTATGCTTTCTTGTCTTTTTTATTGGCCTCAAGTATGCCATGATTTTTTTTTTCCTCTTTTTTAATTCTTTTAATGCCAGGTTTTCTAATTTTTTTAGTAAGTGTAAAGAGTTACCCTCAAAATTATATTTTTATTCAAAAAAATGAGATAGGGAGGTTTGCTAATTCCGATATGGGGCCAATGATGGAAACATAAACATGAGAAAATTATATAAGATTTTTATGGACTTAGTCTTAAGATATGGAGTGGGTTTGATCAAATTACAAAAAAAAGAAAAATCTGATGTTTCTGTTAACATACATTTATAAATATTAACCTTGGCTTGGATAAAAGAGAAGGATGGTTGTGGGATTGGTGGCAGGAGCATCAGTGGATTTTGGTGGAGGAATTAGTGTTTTATAAGTGAGAGGCTCATGGGTGGCTGACTCTAGGTATTTTTTTTTTAAATTCAAATTTTCCATGGTGGTTGATTATGAGGTATCAGAAGTAAAAATAGTTGGATTAGATTCAAACTATGACACAGTTTACTGAGATATCTGTTGAAGGATTCATTTGTAGTGGATTCATGTTAATTTAGGGAAATGTTGCACAATCTTGCCCTTGAGCTAGAGAAAAGGTACAGAACCCTGAAGGGCAATAGGGAGAGAGAGGGAGTGAACTCATCCTAAAAGGATGGATGGATCCTTGGTCAGTCTAGGGAGGGCAGAAAATAATGTCTAAGCAATTATTTTTCATTTTTCTTTAACTGACTTCTTTTACAAGGAAAAATATATAGAGACTGTAATAAGGAGGTTTTTCATCATATGTTAAAGGCCTCTTTCTATTTTCCAAAGAATACTAAATGATATAAAAATACAATTAAAGAAAACATGAATGCAACTCACATTGCCCAAACATAAATTGTAAGGATAAATTCTCTAGTCAAATTATTGAAGGGTCAAGCCAGAAACTTGGTCTTATATCATTGTAGATGGGTCTGTTTGTAACTGCATCTTTTATGCGAAGCTGATGGATTTATATATAACAAGTTTGAGGATAGCTTATGAAAGGATGCGTGGCCTTAGTGGGACTGTGGGGAGAGCAAGCACATCCCAAGGGGAGTATGTGAAATCCTTGGCTCGCCAAGGGAGATTAGAGTAGCATTCTCATGCTAGTGCTTTTTATTCAATTTCAGTTGGTTTTCTTCATACACAAGGGTCCTATATATGGAGTGAAAGAAGGAATTTTCATTACATGTTTGAAACTTCCTCATGCTTTCATACAGGGACAAATGCGATAAAATATGATAGAAATTGACATAATCATAGACATAAATAAATTGTTCATTTAAATGATTAAAGAACCGTGTTTAAAAATTGATTGAATATTATTTTGGATGGATCTATATATAATTATATTATTTGTGACACTTCATTGGCATCTGCACCCCTTTGTCTAGTAATTTTTAACTTGAGGCAGCAGGTGGCTTAATTTGAATCAATTTGAGAGTATTGAGTGTGCAATAAAGCAAGAGGAAAAAAGAAAGCAGCGGCACAAAAATATTTTGATCTCTAGTCTCAACATTTATGCCTTCACACAGGTTACTGTGATAACTCACACAAGCTCAAATATAAAGTTTTAATAGGTTTGGTTAAAAGGTTATGGGATGAGGAGTATATGTAAAGAGGAAGAACAAGAAAATTAAGAAGAATTTGGTGAGGAAGGGGATGAAAAGATTTTTTTTAAAAGGGATTTGAACCCTTGCTATATCTTTGATAGACTAAGGGCAAGTCCACTTGAAATGCTACTCATTGGCAAGAGGAATATGATTATAGGAGAATGAGTAGAACAGGGGCTTAAGGAGGACTACAGGATCGGGGAAGTAGAACAGGGTAAGCGTATTGGGTATGAGAAAAAGAAACCAGGATTAGAATTGAACTTCTTTTTGCAACCTAGACATTTTCATTTATATATTTTTTCTAAGGTGCTTGAGTAGGAGGAGCATGCTTATCGATCCATCAATCAAGTTAAGGCTTGCTTAAGCTTGTTTTCAATTTCCTTGATTTTGCTCTTTGTTAACTCGATACAAGCTATAGTCTACTTTGTTCATACAAGTTAGGCTCAACTCAATTATTTATGTTGCAATATGTCTTTCCTGTCATGCATTTAGTATTTTCTTTTTAAATTTTAAAAACAAAACAATTTACATTCTAATTAACATTATGAGATGTTTATCATGATTTCAAAGTTTATTGAATCTGTTTGTTCTATTATGTAACTTTTTTTTATATGATAGGTTCAAAAGGCAAAATCAGGAATTCGAGTGTTTTGACTTAGCGAGGAGAGGCAGAAGCCTTGAGGCGGATTGAGGCAGCGAGCCTCAAAATTGAGGAAAAGAAAATTATAAATTTAAAAGTAATTCATAAATATGTATTGATTTATGAATGTACATAAATTATAAATATATTGATTTTGTTTTTTATCATAAATATATAAACCACAAATCTCAATCTTAAATTTTGATATAAAAGAAAAGTTTATATTGAAATTCAAGCTAAGCATTAACTTGAAATTTAAATATACCATGAGGATAACTATCTAGAGTGGCTATATCATTGCTCTCTTCCTATGTAATAAATTTCTCATTGATTTTATTTCACAGGCATTTTTTTCAAAATTTGTTCACACATTGTATGTTTTTTTACTTCCTATTTCTCATTAATATATAATTTAAAATAAAATATTAAATTAAAAACAAAGTCAAATAATAATACTTAAATATCTTTTGATTTTTTTGAGGCATTATATTAGATGTTTTAGATAGAAGTATGATAAAATATATATTAATAATATAA